GTAGAAATTTGAATAGCCTGCCATCATTTGTACATAAAATGAGGAAATATTGAAAACCATTTCCTTACCGAATAGAAAAAAAATTCTATATTCTTTATACTCTTCATCAGTATAAACTAATTTAAAGACTTTTATCCCAACAAACTACTGTATAAAAAGAAAAAAAGATAACACATATGTATATAATGTTAAAAAAAAGTACTATAGAAGGCCAGTTTTATTATTTTACTTCTGCTATACATTTATGTAACTACTTTCTAATATGGTGGAATTATCTACATATTCTTCACAAAGTACAACAGATGTGTAGAACAGGTATATGTCATTTGGAACAAATTTGTAAAATTATGTGATTACATTCCAACATGGTGGAAAAATCTATATATTCTTTACGAAGTACAACATTGTCGAAGCAAAGAGGTGTAGAGCAAGTATGTCATTTGGAATAAAATCGAAATAACTTCTGATGCATTTTATGATGTTATCCTATCATAACATTCAGTAGGGTCTCTACGAGGAAAGATGGTAGTTTGAATTACTTTGTATTGGTTTCTAAGTTTCATATACATCAGTAATTCTATCCAGTTTTGATATTATGTTAACATTTTTAAGTCTTTTACAAAATAAATAACTGGTTCCGAAGCAGGGCATTTTAGATATTTTTAATAAAACTAAGTAACCAAAAGTCAAAGCAGCGGCTCAAACAGGAAGAATTGTAAGGAGAGCTTAACAGCGTTGTGTTTCTCCTCACACAAAGAAAAATAAGATTATGATAAAAAGAAGACATGATTTAGTGTTTTAGCCGACATTGTTTAATCTATTAAGGTCTTCCGTCTTCACGAAAGACCTTATAGTGATTCTACTGTTTCTTATTATTAAGGTCTTCCGTCTTCACGGAAGACCTTATAGTGATTCTACTGTTTCTTATTATTATTATTATTATTATTCTTATTATTATTTTTTTGACTTTCTAATTTTGTGCACGCGATTTCTCAGAGACTATTGAGTGGATTGGGATGAAATTTGCAGGGAAAACGTGTCGTAGGCTGAAGTTATTTTATCCGGGAGCAAATTCCAAAAATCACATCCGGTGCCAAGTTATGGACCATTTCCTGATTTTAAAATGAAATTTTGTCCAGGGATAATCTCAAGAACGGCTAAAGATATCAATGTCAAACTTTCAGGAATAACAGATCGTGATAAAGACTTGCCGGGAAGCTTATTTTTGTACGCCGTCGGCACTTCCTGTCGCTACAGGAAGTGGCTTTCAAAAATCGATTTTTTCAATTTTTTTGTTTTTAAATATTTTTTTGCGATATTAGTAGGGATAATAAAGCGTCTTATCGGATTACTAAATATATAATTTGTTTTAATGTTGATTCAAACATACTCTAGGAATTCGCTTTTTTCGTTTTAAGACACTTTCTAATTTTGTGCACGCGATTTCTCAAAGACTATTGAATGGATTTAAATGAAATTTTCAGGAATAGTGTGTTGTAGAATGAACTTGATCTATATGAGAGAAAATTTGGAAATTTACTTCCGGTGCCAAGTTAAAGACCATTTTCTGATTTCAAAATGACATTTTGTCCGCGGATAATCTCAAGAACGACAAGAGATATCAATGTCAAACTTTCAGGGATTATAGCTCGTGATAGATACTAGCCGGGTCGCTACTTTTTGTTCGTCGTCGGCACTTCCGGTTGCTTGCGGAAGTGATCAAAGAAATCGTAAAATTTCAACTTTTCTTTTTTAAATCAATACTTACATCACGTTATTGCATCTCTTTTGTAGTTTCGAAATATGTTAGTCCCACCGGAAACAAAAACGTCAACTTCCGGTTATAAGAGAAAAACTACATAATTTGAGTATTTTCCTTTCCCATTAATATCTTCTGTAGTTATTAATGTCTTTTGTAGCATTTGAAATGAATTCTAAATGTGTTATTTAGACTGCAAATGTCTAGAGTAACGTCAAGTATCTTAAGCTTTGTAAAATTCTCTTCCGGTCGCGTGTTTTTCTGTCCTCAAAATGAGAAGTTGTCTAAGCAAGATCTCGGAAACGGTAAGAGATTAAGACACCAAACTTATATGAGCAACAGACCTTAAGATGTAGGCAAAACCATTTGGGTTCAGAGCGTCAGCCGTCACTTCCGGTCGTCACAGGAAGTGATCAAAGAATTCAAAATTTTAATTTTTCTTTTTTTAAATTAAAACTTGCATCACTTTATTGCATCTCTTTCACTGTTTTGAAATATGTTAGATTCCACCGAAATCAAAAACGTCAACTTCCGGTTTTAGGAGATAAACTACGTTATTTTTATATTTAACTTTCTCATAAATATTGCTAATCGATAAAGTACTTGAAATAATTATATGCATGTTGTAGATACTGCAAATGTCTAGAGAAAAGTCAGAGATTTTTCTAAAATTCACTTCCGGTCCTTGTCTACCTGTCCTCAAAATTAGAATCTGTTCTCAAGATACGGCTCGGCAACAGTAAACGACTGAAATCTAAAACTTTCAGGACTGATAGAAGGTCATCACTTTATTTGAATCGTGAGAAAATCTTGTATCGCCGTTACTTCCGGTCGTGACAGGAAGTGATGCAAAAAAGCGAATTGTTAATGATTAGCACGTTGGATTTTCACGTTGACGACCAGGGTTAAATCTCCAGAGTGTCTGAATTTCTTTAAACACTTTTACAGCTTGAATTTTCGTTTTGTTTTCAGAATCGGACGGAAGACCTCTCATTGCTCGCAATGAGTTTCTAGTTATTATTATTTTTCTGAACATCTAATTTTGTGCAAGCGATTTCTAGAAGGCTACTGAATGGATTTTAATGAAATTTGAAGAAACAATGTGTTGTAATCTGAAGTTATTTTATCCGAGAGAATTTTTGGAAATTCCTTTCCGGTGCCAAGTTACGGACCATTTTCTGAATTTAAAGACATTTTGTCCACGGATAATCTCAAGAACGGTAAAAGATATCAATGTGAAACTTTCAGGGATTATAGGTCGTGATAAATACTAGCCGGGACGTGACTTTTTGTTCGTCGTCATTACTTCCGGTCGTTACCAGATGCGAATTCAAAAAGTAGATTTTTGAAACTTTTCTGATTTTCAATATTTTTCTTCGATAGTAGTAGTGTTAATAGAGGCTCTTCTGAAAATGCTTAATATGTAATTTGTTTTCAAATTGATAAATCTAAACTCTAGATATTCGCATTTTAAAATCTGAAGCGGGTCCAAAATGGCGGCTGTCTTCGCAAACTCCGACGAGTAGGTCGGCACTCGGAGCTCCTCGGAGGGCTCGTTCCTCGCACTCTAACCTCGGACGTCAATGGTGTTCTACCATGTTTCTGATACAGTCATGTGATCTTATTCGAAATGCCTCCAAATGTTACACCTTTGAAGTCTGGGTTACTTTAAAGCACGCCCAACACTTTGTTTTGTTTTCAAAGACTACTTACATGATGTTGTGATCAAAACCAATATCCAAGGAAGAATTAGACAAGTGAAAAAAAATGTTTGAAGAACTTTATGCAGAGTAAAATATGAAATGAGTTACAAGGCAGTTTCCGGCGGAGAAATGTAATGGATTTGATGCATATTTCTCCACCAATCACATCCGAGGTTTGTATGGAGCGTAGCGGAGTCAGTCGAGGATTGCCGATTGGCAGGTTGGAGTTTACGGAGACAGCCGAGCGTCTTGTTGAACGAAACTACCATAAGGATCAATGAAATATGAAGGAATTGTTGGATCTTTCAGATTATGACCTCCAAAAGCAATAAAATGAGTAATTTGTACCATACATACAATAATATATATGAGAATGGAGACATTTCAATAGAACATACATTTCAAAGAAAAGGCGCGAAGATTTACTCGTGACGTAATGTATCTTAGTAGAAAAATGGTCTGATGCAGAAGTGCAGAAAAAGATTACACGGGCACGTTTGTATGAAATACGGGTATATGGAATTGCATGGAATAAAAAGTTGAATACACAAAGAATAAAGGAAGTAAACAATATCATCAGTTCATCAGTAATTGATTATTTGTTATTGTTTAAACTCAAGTAACGAATTCCGATATGAATCTGCTTGCACAAAATTTGGCTAGCTAGCTCTCATTCTATAATTCCACACTATATATAAAAAAAAAACTTTTAACCTCCCTGACGCTAGTTACTTCAGGCAATGATACAAAGTAAACATCGACCATGGCTGGTAAAATTGCGTTGGTTTAGTGGCTTCCATATAGAATTTTCACGAAGGCGATCTGGGTTTAATCCCGAATCTGTTAGCTTAAATTTACGTTTTCAACTTTATAAATGATGTTGAGTGGGGTTTTTTGTTAGAGATGATAGAACATGATTTATAGATTGGCGAAGGGACCTTTTCATGCGTTGTCGTTAGTTCCGGTCGCTTCCGGAAGCGAATTTAAAAAATCGATTTTTTCAACTTTAATATTTTTTGTTTAATATTTGTAAGGTTAAGAGAGCCTCTTTTCAAAATACTAATTATATAATTTGTTTTCGAATTGATAAATCCAAACTCTTGATATTCATTTTCACTTTGAAGCGGGAGTTGAAATGGCGCAATGGTTAGCACGTTTGATTTTCACGCTGACGACCAGGGTTAAATCTCCAGAGTGTCTGATTTTTTTTTTTTTTTCACTTTTTCAGCTTGAATTTACATTTTTATTTTCAAAATCGGACGGAAGACCCCTCATTGCTCGCAATGAGTTTCTAGTTTTTTTTTTATGTATGTAATAATGTCTTTTTTACGTTCAAAAATCTCTTCTTCTCAGCGAATAAGCGTTTCTTTATCACCAAGATGGTGTTCTAGGGTATGCATGCTTTGTTTTGTATTATCTCCAATATGGTCAAAAGGTCTTATATCGAAAGGGTAAAGGTAACACACAGTGATATAACTCATAAATTTAGTAAAGAACACAAATCGAGAACAGGGCAAAAAAGGGACCATTGGAAAACAATGAAATTTGATGATATTTTTAAAGAAATAGGAGAATTCGGTCCCTATCAGAGGCGGAACTACGCATTTTTAATTGTGGTGTATCTATTAACGGGTCCTATAATGACTTTGTCTGTGTTTGTCATGGGATTTCCAGAACACAGGTATGATATTACAATAAAAGTCAATCTTTATTTAACAACTTCAAGTACATTTGAATGTTTTGAATTTATAAATTTCATATATTATGTTTCTAGCATTCGTTTAAGTAAACATTAAATGTAAAACTTACTATTTTCTTAAGCGTTTCTGCGATCACATCTTTGTATCTAAAGTTATCGTCCATAATTTGCATATTAGTCAACAAGCTCTCTGTTTGTTGGCTTCAAAAGGCATGTTTGTATTATCTTTTGCTTCAAACATTTCATGCTTTACATTGGAAGTTATTATTCAATAGTTTCAACATTGTTCTTTGCTGAGTGCGTTTGCTTCTGTTCACTTACCTGTCTGTTCAATTAAAGAGAGACTAGGGTACATTAATTCTTTTAGATTCATTTAGTCCTTCAGTGTTAGCTTAAAACTTTATACATTGACATTTCAGTACAAGTACTCAAGAAAAATGATTAACAAATCGAAATTCTAAATGTCAAGTCTTCGGCACAGAAACATATACTGTAAAATTGGTTAAATTGAAGGGTTGAAAGTTTGACGATTTCAGTACATTATAAAAATGGCAGGTGGAAACTTTGACGATCTACTAGTACTTAAGGTCAAGATCTAGTAAATGAGTTTAGACTGTCTTTTTGGTGCTAGATCCATTATGACGTCATAATTGATTTAAACTTAATTTTCCCCGTACTTTACGGCTATTATAGAATTACGTAGAAAATAAAACATTTTCATGGAATTCAATCTGAAATCATGTCAAAATTAACCCCGATACCTATATTCAAATTAATATCATTTTAAAGAAGAGGTCAAGAAGATATGAAAAACTGTTTTCTGAGAGACTGTAGGCAATATTGATACATTTTCTTTTTCTGAGGAGGAAAAAACTCCCATATTTTTACCTGATTTCCTTCATTTTTCATTGAAAATAACAGTTTAAAGTATCGTTTTTCGTTGAGTTTACCTAAAAATTATGCCCCGATACACCTAATTTCGCCAAGCTATATTTGTAAAGGATCATTGAAAGAACTTGTTTCTCAGATTTCAGAAATCTGAAGGCACCTTTCATTTAATAGATCTTGACCTTAACAGTGCTCTTCAACATGAATGTGAAAGGTGACGAGTGGAAACTTTGACGATTATTAGAAATTAGTCAATTTCGCTTACGTTTCCACATCGTCAAAGTTTCCACTTTAACAGTACTAAAATTCCTTCATGGATTCTTCACTCTTCAATTTTAATGACTTTCTACATTTTTTTGTATTGTGTTGTTTTTCTGCATCAAAAATCAACCCAATGATGGAAATGGGAATGTCGTCCCTATGAATTAATGCAGAAGTACTAAGTGATTGTAGTATTTAAAGAGACTTGTTAGGACAAAGAAAATCTTGTATTCAGACGTGGGTTTTAATAATTTAACATCTATAATTTTTAACTGAAATGTCATATTTTATGGATTAGAATTTGTAACTGTAGAAGAGTTGATACGTTTGTGATTTTTCTGCAGTTTTTTAAAAGGATTATTGTAAACATTACACATCGTTGAAAAAGTTTGCTACATCTTGACACGTGTTTGCACTGAGACATGTTGTTTTTACTGTTAGATAAAGCTTTTTTTCATTTATTTATGTGATTTTTCTCTAATATGCACGTGCAATTCATTTCAAGTAAGTTAAACTTAGATTACTCATTTCTGCTAGTAAGATTGTCATAATTAATATGAAAGTTACATATATAAAATGATACTTTTTTCATGCATCCATTGTGTACTCACATTTTAATAAAGTACAAAATTGTCGAAGCAAATGGGTATAGAGCAAGTATGTCATATAGTATTGGATTTATTGAAACCTGGAAAAAAACATGAAAAATACATTATTTAGTAAGAATCATTACAGAAAAATGTGTAGTATGCTAATTTTCATTGAAAATGAAACAATTACCTCAAAAGTATTTAGTAAAGTATTTATATTTTAATATTTAAGATGTCAGATTCCCGGAATCGACAACGACACTTATGCAATTCAGGGAACACAGCATCAAACACTTATTCACAAATACATCCCTTTAGACAAAGACGGTAAGTATGAAAAATGTATCCTGTACGATATTAGCCAATCAGCGACGGAGTTTGACAATGACAGCCGACCAATCAACGCTACCAGAGTGAAATGTACAGCTTGGGTTTACAGCCAAGATGTCTTTCATGATACTTTTGTAACAAAGGTAAAATATATAGAGAAGCTGTGGTAGTAGATTCAACTAGCAATGGTCACTTGACCTTTTGTGTAGTCAATGTTATGTATTTATGTCTTTGGTTATTCTTTTAGTTTAATTTAATGCTTACACTCAATTACACATGTTGTGATTTTCATATATTAAAAATTTCGTAATTTTCTTTTTTTTTTTTCGAATTTTAGGAGAATCTGGTATGTGATGATAAATATAAAATCTCGCTGTCAAAGACGATTTTCTTTGCCGGTGTTCTGACGGGATCCTTTATGTTTGGAATGATATCAGACATGTAAGGAACTTATAATCCTACCATAGTTTTATCAATGAACATGCAGATATGAACGTAATCGATCAAAGAATTTTCAAAATTTCAGTTGACTTTAATCATACTTCATGGAGGATGTAACTACGGGATTGATCGCTTGAAATCATTAGCATTTTCATCAAATATGGTTCTTCTCTTGTGTTTTTTTAGACTTGATATTTTCAAAAATTAAACGGCATCAGGTCAATTGCAACAAGGGCTATGGTCATAAAAATGATTTTGCTTTGTGCTACTTTCTTTATAACTGGCTTTACTACTCGCTATGTTGTGGAACTGATTGGTATTATTTGAAAAGATGCGTCGAAAAAAAAAATCTTCTCATTAACCATTTGACAAATGAAAATATCTGAAAACTCATATAAGAGCTTCGATTTTTGGTGAACGTCTAAATTTGTTTTAATAGGGTAAAAGAAATTACTTCTGAAAAAAAAAAAAACCCCAGCAGTTTGACAGTAAGTTAATTTAATATGAAAGCGCTTTGATGAAAGTCGTGTCATTAAAAATTTTATTTAAAATACTTTCAGCATTAGTTACATAGTGTTAGCCATAAAAGGGGTTCGAAGTTTAAGGAGAGGAATAGAAAACAAACTAAAATATATCTTCTTTAAAATAGAATAGCAAATAAATAAACAGACAAAATTGATAGATATGCATCTCCATCCAATGGAGATTAAATTATGTCTGACAGTAAGTCATTTTAATATGAAAACGACAAGAAAGTGGTGTAGTTTATAATTTTGTTTAAAGCATGCACGGAGTTACTTTATTACGGTTTGCCATAATAGGGGATCGGAATTTCAGGAAGAAATAATAATTATAGAAAACTTAAAATATCTCATTTAGAATAGCAAGGATATGACAAACAAAATTAAAAAATATTCATCTCCATGCAGTGAAGGTTAGTTATGTTTGAAATAAGATTATGTGAGTTTAGCGTTATCTCAGAAAGGGCACAACCTCTACAGCGAAATATATATTGGCATTGCAAACTGGACGACGACAATTTTTAACTTGCTTTGAAACGTACATGTACTATAAATTAGAACAAGAAATCTTAATGTTGATACATATTGTTACCTTTAATCTTTTTCATTTCATAACAGTTTAAGTATTAGGATATTCATTCGCCCTGAGAAAGGAAGTGACTAATTTCCTTTTTCCTTTTTTATACCACAGAGTCATTTTGAAGACATGACATTACAAGCTATATTAGCTTGATCATTTACATTGATTTTTGAATAAATAAATGTCTCAAACTATTAAACTTACTTTGGTGTCCAACAATCTTTAGATTAGGACGCCGGAAGACCCTTCTTATTGCAATTCTACTTGAGCTATCGTCAACACTAGCTTTGGCCTGGTCCTATAATTACGTCACGTATGCCATTCTACGTTTCTGCACAGGGGCTGCATGTGTTGGGATGTTTATGACGTCATATGTTATAGGTTTGTTTTGATTTTTATATTTTAGTCTAATGACATTTTTTGATGGAGATACTTTTTGTTGACTCCCTTAAAGAATATTGGCGCTGACATTACGGTATGTTCCTGGCAGAATTTGTGCATAGCAAAATATTTGTTTTACATGTCCAAGCAATTGTCGGATATTGCTTTAAGTGTGCAAAATGTACACTTATATTATATGGAGGGTATACATGACATACATGAATTATGTTAACTTAACCTTTTAACCTGCCTAAAAATTTTTCACAGATAAACATACATATCCTTTTACCCTTCAATCAGTTAGATATTAAAAGCAGTGTATTTATTCATAAGTAATAAAATCTTCCCTGTTTACTTGTATTTCATTCGTACCAGCACCATTTATACAAGTTAAAATGGAATACAGTAATTGAATTGAGCTGTGATTCTAAAATGATACTGAATACTTCCCATACTAATATATATATATATATATATATATATATATATATATATATATATATATATATATATATATATATATATATATATATATATATTGGATGATGCACAAAATGTCTTCTGTACGAAGATAATGTGCTGAAGATCAGAAAGCGAAGCAATGGCTTTTACTGATAGCATAGTGATAAATACATTTATTATTTAGTCTAAATGTTGTAAATAATGGTTCCGACAATTATGCAATATTGAGCATGAGAAACGTTTCCCACGTCTATCAGAGGATAATTATCATTACATAACGATGATTATGAACCACATGTAATGTCTTACACACCAGTAAAGCTTAACACGGTAGTTATGGCTTGTAATCTGGAAAATTTGGAACATTTGGCAACAGATTTTGCTAATTATGAAATTGTCGTTACTTAATATCTGAATCATATTATGTTGGGACTATATAATAAAATATTTATGAACTCTTAAGGTTGAAATTATGGTTTTATATTCCCCAGAAAAATACTAGCATTGACTTTGGCTTGGCCGAGGTCAATACTGATATTTTTGGGTGACTTTTTTATCAAACCATATTTAACCTTCACTTTCTGATTCCTTCTGAATCATGTTATATATCATTCAGTGATGCGTTTTTTTTTCAATTAAATTAGGAATGGAATGGGTTGGTCCCTCTACGAGGACATACGCAGGTTTAATCATAGCCTTCTTTGGTCCAGTGGGGGAGCTTTACTTTATCCTGGTGTCATATTTTGCCCGGGACTGGTTCTGGATAATTATTTCTGTAGCTATTCCGTTTGGGATAGACGCATTAATTTGGTGGTAAGTTTCCTTGAAATACATTTTTAACACCTTAAATACATGTACAGGTCGTACATCTTACATCCAAAATTCACCACCATACAAAGGTCCCGTCAAACACATCTATTTCCTAGTCAAGAATATGAACCAGTTTCGTTGCATTATAACTTTAACATTAATCATTTCATTGAAACAGGTTTATTCCTGAATCACCACGTTGGCTTTTTAGCCGGGGGAAAAACAAAGAAGCCACCCAAATTTTAGAAAAAGCGGCACAATACAACAAAAAGGAACTTTCACCAAAGATACTGGAGAATGTTGTGATAGAGAAGAGAGAAGCTGGAAAGATATGGCTTTTATTTTCGGACCGGCGCCTTGGTATCAGAACTATCATCATATTCTATAACTGGTAATTTCCGACGATTTTATCTCGAACATGTTCCATATTGTGGCCTCGGTTTTTATAAGAGGTATTCTGATTCGTCAAGGCTTCTTAGAGATACGGAAGGATATTTAAGATAAAATAATGCAAGATAGATAGATAGGAATTACATTCATTTCATTTAAATATGAGAGAGTTGGAGGAACAATGAGTTAGTAAATAAAATGTAAATAACATCAATTTTACACCTGTTGAACAGGAGGTTACTGACAAATTCAATGCATAATTATTCTTCATGTAAAAATCAACTATTTTGTTTTCAAATAATTATATCAAATTAAAAGATAGTACTTTAAAAGACTATGCTTTTTTAAACATGAAAGGTAAATGACTTTCTAGGACCTCTCTCTGAATATAGGTATTCAATATCAAAACTTGATATATACATCAACAATCAAAATTCAATGCAAATGAAATCCTTACTTTTATTAGCTCACCTGAGCCGAAGGCTCAAGTGAGCTTTTCTGATCACTTTTTGTCCGGCGTCCGTCTGTCTGTCTGTCCGTCTGTCTGTCTGTCTGTCTGTCTGTCTGTAAACTTTTAACATTTTCGACTTCTTCTCAAGAACCACTGGGCCAATTTCAACCAAACTTGCCACAAAGTATCCTTGGGTGAAGGGGATTCAAGTTTGTTAAAATGAAGGGCCACGCCCTTTTTCAAGGGAAGATAATAAAGAATTAGTGAAAAATTAATAGCATCTTTTAAAAATCTTCTTCTCAAGAACCACAGGGCCAGGAAAGATGAAACTCAAGGGGAAGCATCCTCAGGTAATGTAGATTCAAGTTTGTTCAAATCATGACCCCCGGGGGTAGGGCGGGGCCACAATGGAGGATCAAAGTTTTACATAGAAATATATAGGAAAAACCTTTAAAAATCTTCTTCTCAAGAACAGCAAAGACATGTTGAGTCATATTTATATGGAAGCATCCTCAGGTAGTGTAGATTCAAGTTTGTTCAAATCATGACCCCCGGGGGTAGGGCGGGGCCACAATGGAGGATCAAAGTTTTACATAGAAATATATAGGAAAAACCTTTAAAAAATCTTCTTCTCAAGAACAGCAAAGCCATGATCAGTCATATTTATATGGAAGCATCCTCAGGTAGTGTAGATTCAAGTTTGTTCAAATCATGACCCCCGGGGGTAGGGCGGGGCCACAATGGAGGATCAAAGTTTTACATAGAAATATATAGGAAAAACCTTTAAAAATCTTCTTCTCAAGAACAGCAAAGCCATAATGAGTCATATTAATATAGAAGCATCCTCAGGTAGTGTAGATTCAAATTTGTTCAAATCATGACCCCCGGGGGTAGGGCGGGGCCACAATGGAGGATCAAAGTTTTACATGGAAATATATAGGAAAAACCTTTAAAAATCTTCTTCTCAAGAACAGCAAAGCCATGATCAGTCATATTTTTTTGGAAGCATCCTCAGATAGTGTAGATTCAAGTTTGTTCAAATCATGACCCCCCAAGGGTAGGGCGGGGCCATGATTGACTATCAAAGTTTTACATAGAAATATTTAGGAAAAATTTTTAAAATCTTCTCAGGAACAGCAAAGCCCTGATTGATCATATTTATGTGGAAGCATCCTCAGGTAGTGTAGATTTTATTTTGTTCAAATCATGACCCCCGGGGGTAGGGTGGGGCCACAATGGAGGATCAAAGTCTTAAATAGAAATATATAGGATAATATCTTGGAAGCATCCTCAGGTAGTGTAGATTCAAATTTGTTCAAATGATGACCCCTGGGATAGGGAGGAGCCACAATGGGGGATAAAATTTTTACAAAGGAATATATGGGAAATTTTTTTTGAACATCTCAAGTACAAGAAAGCCATTTGTTATATTGACATGGAAGCATCATCAGGTAGTTTAAAATTCAAGCCCCCCCCCCCCCCCCGCGGTGGTAATCTTTTCAATACTGAACTCGTGCTTTTGCCTAGCCAATGTGCTCAGGTGAGCGATGTGGCCCATGGGCCTCTTGTTTTCTTTTAAGGATGGTTGCTAGCATGGTGTTCTATGGCCTTTCTCTGAACACAGGGATTCTGTATGGCGATTATTACATTAACTTTCTTATTGTTGTACTAGTGGAGTTTCCAGGCCATGCTCTTCCTCTGTTTATGATTGACAGATTCGGCAGGAAAAAAAGTCACTTTGTCTACATGGCTGTCGGCGGTTTAGCTTGCCTTAGCACTATTTTTACAGTAAACTTTGGAGGAAAAGGTTGATATAAATTTGAAACAATAGGACACAATTTCGAAAAAAAATGTTCTCTTGGAATTCCTAAAATATACAATGTAAATGTGATTTGTCATTTATTTACATAAAACTATATTTTTCTAGAGGTCATTTTTTGGTAATTTTCTTTTTTCACAGATCTGCAGATCCTCACAACGGCTTTGGCGATGGTTGGTAAAATGTTCGCCACTGCTGCTTTCGCTACTATCTATGTTCTTTCTGCTGAACTGTTTCCCACAGCCATAAGGAATGCTGGAATGGGGTCCAGTTCCTGTTGGGCTCGAGTTGGAGGAATGATTTCACCATTTATAGCAGACACGGTGAGAAAACACAAAGTTTCCATTAATTCTTCAGATGATAAACATTATTCATGAATTGATATCATCATAAGTATGTTCTATCTAATGCTCAATAACAGAAAATAAATTGATTTTCTTAACATTGATTGATTGATTGAATGTTGTTTTACATCCCATTTGAGAATTTTTCACTCACGTCACCATATACCGGTTAAGGGCTTCAAATTTAGACCTTTACTTGGCACTCAGGGCCATTGAGCAGTGACGGTTTTTTTTATCGTGCCAACGCCTATTGTGACACGGAGCCTCGGTATTTGAGGTCTCATCCGAAAAACCGGCAACTTTCATTTCAAAGTGCCGAGCGCTTGGGGAAGGAACAGTTGCTAGCAATTTTTTTTTTTTTTTTGACTTAGGTCAGTCGCGGCCGTGATTCGAACACACGACCTTCCGATCACGGAGAGAACGCTCTACCAATTGAGCTACCGTAACGGTGATTTTCTTCAAAAGTGAGGAATATTGTTCATTGAATATCTGTGTATAACCTTATCGTGAATAATTTTAATTAGTAAATACTTTACTACATACTTACAAATATGGTGATTCAAGCTTAAAATGTACAAATCCTAGCAGATTTGATTTTTTTTTTTTTTTTTTTTTTTGTAAATGTATATTGTCTATTGTGCAAATATTTTAAATTTAAATAAAAGATTAAATACCGATGCCATAACCAAATTAAACTTTCAAACACATGTTAATGTTATGGATCATTGATCTGAAATTAACAATTCATTTAGAATAAATCGCAAAGGCATGTACTTGCGAAAAGACATTTTTATAGAGTTGGACGATATCTTTACACCTCCCTACCATACACGTGTTTGTATTATCCCATTTTTTATGCATGAACTCACAATAATGAGTTGTCTTTCAATGAGATTTCAATAGTTGTTGGTTATTGGTTACAAAGCATCATAACCTGTATTGCAACATCCACAAATTACCAGGGTAACAGAAGTTATAATATGGAATGTAGTGTAAGTTTATAAATGTTTTCTGTTTGAATCACTTAGGCAGATTTAGTGGGCGGTACGAGCGGAACTGCAATACCATTGGTGATATTTGGAGGGGCGTGTCTCCTTGCCGCGGGACTGACCCTCATTCTTCCAGAAACTCTCCATCAACTTTTACCAGAAACCATTGAAGATGGAAAGAACTTTACAACGTAAGAACAAAATCTTAGATCAAGTACTGTATGAAAAAAAAAAATTTTTTTAATCATATTTAGAAATATTTTCATTTAAAAATATATATAGACTTTCATTATTTAGCTGAATTGTTTTTAATTTTTGCTTTTTTTCAATTCTAGAAAAGAATACAAAGAACGTTCAAAACAATACAGAACTGGACTAACTAAAGAGATAGAAATTACCAAGTTTTAAAATTCTGTAGATTGATGATCAAATTATACAAAATTTGTAATCATAAGTCTTAGTATGATGCATAAAATACACATGTAAACTATTTAATATGTCCAAGTATTGATATTTTTACACTAGATAAAGAAAGATTTTAACATATGTCTTCAAGATTTCTTTTCAATAACTATAGGAGAGAAGAAATAAAAAGCAACAATCATGAACAAGCTGATTTTATAAATTACTATATCTAAAACTGAAATTTTAACATCGTCAGCTTGTCGTTTAAAAATTCCTACAGATTCAGTATTAAAGGATTATATGCACCGAGATTTAATGAAAGTCAACCTCATGGACATCTGAAACAAACCTACATTTTACAATTTTATAGGCATTCCTCTACCACTAAAACAGTGTCTACAGCTGAATCGACTTTGAAAAGAAGTCCTTCGGATCTACCTTGCCGAAATGTAGATAAAATACAAATTTTCAGTTGATTTTGTATGTACTAATTCACGCTTACACTGTTGAGAACTCCGAAACGGTCTGCCATCTGTCACCGTGACGTCATCAACTCTTCTGATGCTGTAAATGATAATTTTTCTCCTTCCTAGTTAAGTTCCCCGTGTGATGCAGTAGAAAGGGCAATTTGCTCTTGAGTTGAGGAGTAAAGGGTTAATCCAAGAAAGTACGTCACGAGTCTTAACTCCATTGTGTGATATAGAGGCCGGGACCTCATAAACTGACAAAATGCACTCTCACTGCTCAATGGCCATATGTACCAATAACAAATCCTAATCGCAGCCTTTCACGAGCATTTTTTTTGTCCCAACATGAACGATTTCTCAAACCAAACAGCCTTAGTTGCAATTATTACAGACATACGTAATATGTAAAAAAAAAAAAAAAAAAAAAAAAAAACTTTGCTCAGTTTTTTGAGATTTTTGAAAAAAAAAAAATCAGTACTCGCTCTTTGCCCTCATTTCATTTCATAACTGTTTTCTATATTAAATTACTTTCAAAATAGTAATGTTATATAATCAGTTTATATAGTGAATTCCTCTTACTTATTTTGGTTGACATTTGACGTCGGAAAATGAAATTATTATACATGTAATAGTAGTATCCGTGTATTTTACAGCACTCGACCTTATGATTAGCTGGTAATCTATACATATCAAGGAAGCGGAGTATTGCGTCATCCCATTGAAATGGGAGAAAAGAGGAAAATAAAAATAATCTCAACCGATAGTGGTATGTGCAATAACCTTTGATAGTGGCATGTGCCTAATTCCCCCAAGAGACTGTCTGCAAGCAACGCAGAGCTAAAAATAGATTTACAAATGAAGTCTCAATGTAAGTTTTGACCACTATCACCCCTATTCATATCCTTAGAGATGCTCAAAAATGAAATATTACTTATATTTTAATTTGACTGACTTATAAGAAATGTTTTCGCAGTTAGAATCTCAAACTCGTGAAATACTCGTATTTTATGCTTCAAAGCCAAACAGTCTGAGCATTTATGAAGGCATATGATATTGACTTGATCATTTTAAGGTTTTATTCATTACAGTGAATATGGTCATGTGACGAATAAGATATATTCAGTGACAGATACATACTTCTAAAAGATAGGAAAATTATACAAATAAATATTTCATATTGATTAAGGATTTGTAGATACATTATGTATGAAAAAGGTGAAGTGTAAAATGATCGATCTTGAAATTCAGTACAAATTAATCAACATGACAGCAAACACGGACTTTTGAGATCTCCGGGATCAGGTGCCCAAGAAGAGATGGCATCCCCTGTCAACCGGTCACACCCGACCTGAACTCTATATATATTGATCAATTAGACGGAGTACTCAAAAGTCTTTTTTTTTTAAAAATGGCCGAACAATAAGTATGAAACATGTCAACCAAAAGCATGGCCCAGTGATAGGATGAATGGACAAAAAATGTCATTATAACGACCATAGAATTTTCGAAATGCTGAATTTAAACGAGATTCTGAAATCCCTGTAACATCAACTTATTTGTCAGTAGCAAGCTTCGGTTTCAAAAAATTTGATCCTACTCATGGCATGCTCTTAATCGAATAAATTTGGAGACATTAACACTTCGTCAGATGATTGTGGAAAATTACTACATAAATAAGGAAAGTTGACGGTAGGAAAGATCAAACAATATCGATTCTCATACAATTTATTTGTTAATTAGCCATTATCTTATAGAGTCAGTAAAACATCCAAATATGAAACAGTTGTGACAGACTCTGCTGTGTCTTTTATTTCGAATTCACTGGGATACACCTAGTCGATATATGCATGAAAGCTTCATCAAATATTGCAAAATTAAGTTTTTTCCCTTCATTAGATATTTGTACTAAGAGAGAGAAGATAAGAATCTTAATTGGCGATGGTGTCATTGCAGCGGTATTACAAATTAAAAAAAAAACACTTAAAACATGCAGTATAATTCCAATGGGTATTTTAGAAATGGCTAGGTGATTGCAATTGGTGACCAAATAAATGAATAATTAATTCAGTATCGATAGATAATTTAAATCATTAAAAAAAACAATAATACATGTTAAACATGTATAGGGATTCGACCTCTAATTTTTTTTTTTTTACTTGTTTGTTCGTTTGTTTGTTTGGGGTTTTTTGTTCTTTTTTAGGGGGATGGGGTGTAAACCGTCCATTTTTTTATCCTCAGATATTCACTTTCCTTTTTTCCATTCGTTTTTGGCACTCTACATTCATACATTTTATTCTTCACTGTTCAAACATACTTAAATACTGCATTAAGTACAATACATGTGTGAAATAACCACAACGCCACAGTTCATAAATGTATATTTTATACATGTAGTTTTGTTGTGAATCATCAGTTAACTTTAGGTAATATGATAATCTTGGCTAGTGGTTAATAAAAATTTTCTCAATTTAAAATCTATCTGATGAAACAGAGAAAAAAAATGTTTTCACCCAAAACCTTTTGACTGCATGTTTACTTTTTAAAATTTTTAAGGAAACGTCAATGTCTCAATATATTCACAAAAACGTTTCCGGTTGCCCACAGAAACATTTACCCTACTTCATGGTCACGATTGAGGTGTTTATGAGTAGTTTACTCATTCAGTTAACATAACTATTTGAGTGGTTTAAAAATATAAAGATGAATTTTCATTTACATCCGCTTATTGCAAGGACGAGGAAATGCCTTTATTTAGATTTAAATCGGTGTTTCATGATAAATTTATTTTTGTATTCATGATACACAAATTTAGACGAATTCAGCAGAATGTTACTACTTTAAAATTTTTGGAAGAACGGAAAAGTGTACATGTTAATTGTTTTCATTATTTCCCCGAAGTGAAATTTAGTGCTTCTCGTAATAATCACCGTCTCTTGTTAATTATGAACTAAACAGGAAAATATTTTCCCCGTAAAATATATCCTTCTCATTGTGTACATGGCTTTATTTTATGACCATGTTTTTTTTTTTCAAATAAATAAATACATACACTATGAATAAATTTAAACTTAAACATAGGAAAAACCACAGAATTTCATGTGTATTGTTTTGTGAACCAACAGTTGTCAGCTACCACGGACATGAGATGAAATCTTGTGTTTTCCTTTCGGTCGTTTATCCATCAGATACGTTGTTTGTTTCCGATCGGGTTAGTGAGTATAACTAAATATCTGAACGAGAAAACAGGGAAGATATAGTAAGAAAAAAACCAGGAAGGAGAACAGCTGAATATCAATATGGTGACCTTCGGGTCACTGTACCATTTATCAACAATCGTCCGTTAGTGTTTCTCATATGTGTATCATCAGTGTAAAGACTTATCTTAAATGAACAGGTAAGTAACAAATTATACTTATGTCCTTATTTACATTTCAATAACATTTGTATATAATGATCATGTGTCAGGAGAGAGTTTTACACATTGTCTAGTTTACTCACAACCATAAATAGTACATTTTTACACATATGTGGCTTGTTTCCATTAGAACTTTAAAGTTGACACGACCCAAAGCAAAAAAAAAAAAAAAGGAGCTGGCTTACTCATAATCACGTGACTTATATTGTTATGTTTTATGTTTAACAATCACATAAATATAATGTGTATGTTTTACAATACCATTCGTATATATTGTAAACTGGTTTAGCTTATTCGTATTTGCCTGTCTTACAAAATACTGTCTACAAACATGTGTATATGTATCTATATGTATTAGCATAGGTTAAATATCTACTTAAAAATATAACGACATAATGCAAATTGTTCATTCTATTATACGGTTTCCTTATCAGACTGTTAGTTTAGAGGGAATAATTGCATGCCTCTAGGGGCCTACATATTTAGCACGCAGTTATCATTTTAAGATAGGAAATCTTCGAAGATTTAAAAATCCTGGTAATATTACTCGTTACTTATGATAACGTTATCATTATACTGTTGTTGACACACAATGAAAAGAAAGATTTAAAACAAATATCCCATTCATCTGTGTAATGACAGCACTATAACTGATATAGTGTGTTTTATTTTTAATTGGGCTGTACTCTATTCGCCGTCCATAGCTTATACAAATTAATATGGTAAAACATTCAAGTAAGTTCTACTAATTTTATTCTTTTTTATTTTAGCTATAACAGCATATTGCTAGTATTGCTGGACTGTCTTAGACTCTTTCTCTTAAGATACTTAGCATATATATGTTTCATATATACAGGTAGTCGAGTCATAGAAGTTATTAAATTAATTCTAAATGTTATTTACTCAGCAGAAATAAAAAAAAATGTCAATGCTGTTATTTAGTAGTAGTCCAATCTACCTCTGACATACATTAGTGAATAGTTACAGAACTTTTAGACACAAGAAAGTAAGGTCATTTTAGATAGAGACAGACACACCCATTATAAGATGCAATTAAAACATATTTTTAGGGGGCAGTTTAAGAACAGAAATATTTTTTTTTGTTTTAAACAACATATATGTTGGACAGATAAATAGAAATTAATTTAAAAAAAACAATGATTAATGTTAGTGAAAGGTAAACTCCTTTATCGTTTTCTTCAGTCATTTTACATGTATACCTCATTCATATCAATTCAAAATGAGAGAGAGAGAGAGAGAGAGAGAGAAAGAGAGTAATTAAAAAGGCAATTTTGGTGCTGCTTCTTGCAACTGTTTCCTTGCTTTCAAGTACAGTTGCATAATACGTTTCATTGTTGAAATGTTTTTAAAGGAAATATTAAGGTAAAAATGTAATTTGAAATTCATATCCCTTTATCGCTTGCTTTTTTTTTTTATTATTATTATTATTACTCATATGGACCTTTTTCCAAAGTCCCTTCATACTTGTCATTGACTTTTGTTTATGAGATTTTTTTTTTCTTAAAAAACACACAGATAATATCGACTATTTTACATTAATAGTTATTCATGAATATTCATGATCAAGTTATTTTTTTTTTTAGCTAGCGCATTTATTCCTCATGATGAACGATCACTGATTTGAATACTAAGGTGGATAATGGCGACCGATTCAAAGACACGTAATCTTAAGAAACTCCTGACAGAAATCTTAGAGACTGAGAGGACCTATGTAAAAGTACGTATTGACAAGAATAATTTTATAAATGCATGTGTATAAACTAATTCGTCAAATTATCGCAAATATGTATGAGATGGATTTATACATGTAATTTATTAAAGTAGGTAACCCTAAAAATTACAAATTCAATATTTCGTAAATAAAAAAAAAATTATGTTGCAAAGAATTGTTCTTAAAATTTAATATGATAACATGGTGTAATAAAAATTTGCGTAATCTTTGCTTTTACCGTGTTCTGTTAAAAATATTCTTACAAAAATAATCTGTTTTTAGTGAGGTGACTCTTGTTTTCTATTTAAAAGTTTTGAATAGTGGATACTGTTAGAGAAATTGAATCAAAATCCATCTTATGTGATGCTTGTAGAATATAGACATTCTGGCAGTGCGGTATTTATGCCCTCTGTCGACGGAAACATTTGTTACCACGATGGAAATCAAACAGCTATCTGAGAGTCTACAGGAAATATTGCAGTTTCAGAGAGCTTTTCTCCAGAGCTTAGAATCAGTGATGGACAAACACAGTGAAGTGTATACCTCAGAGGACGAAAGAATAATTAGGGTTTGGTTTAAAATTACTTCTATTAAATATGTTAATATGTAAATATGTAAAGATGAACTTGAATTTTTTGCAAAGTCCCATGAAAAGATTTAGAATAAGAAAGCCTTGTTCAAAATTTGGTGTTAATTACTAGCTTACTTATTAACTATCAGTATATTTTATAAAAATTAGATAACTTTCCCAATGTTCAGATATAATTTAATTTTGTTTGTATTCTAGCCTCTGATTGGTTAATATCCAAAAGGGAAAACAAATTATTTCTGTATAACCTGGTTTGGTATGGGGACACCCCCCCCCCCCCCGACAACCAGCTGAATTATCTGTATCCATACAATCCTCTCATTTCCAATTCTCGGGATTCATGTATAATTCAAGATTTAATAAATGTACCTTTAACTTCAAACAATAATTCGATCTTACCACATGTAAACAAACAACAAGGCTGCTAGGCCTATGTATCAGTTTTTACCTCCCCTCGCTTCCCATCACTTCCGTTACTACGGTTGTATTATTGAGCGGCAAATTTGAACTAATAAAAAGCAACGAAATTTTACACCCATAGTTATTTAATGATTTTAAAATTGAATTATAAGGAATGACTCTAATTCTTGGCCAAATTATTCGAGTATAACCTGGTTTGGGTCAGTTTTCGCTGTTTTAATTTATAATCCGCTTCGCGGATTATAAAGCGCAAACTCACCCAAACCAGGTTATACTCGAATAATGTGGCCAAGAATTAGAGGCATTCCTAAATGATTGTAATTTTGAAGTTTTCAGAAATTTTCGTCTGTCTAGGCTTTACAGAATTGAAAACATTAAATTCAACAAAAATTAGCATTTATATAATGATCATCTACAAGCATTTGCAGAATTGAATGTAAGATTTGTATTTTTTTGTTCTACAGAGGGCTATTTTTGCCGTTGGGGGCGTTTTCTTGTTTTATGCTGAACAGTTCAAGATCTACAGTTCTTTCTGTGCTCTGTACAGCAAGGTTCAGGACATACTCAACGCAGGTAAAAAGATTTGTGCTCTGTACAGCAAGGTTAAGAACATCCTTTAAAACTTTCTGTACATTGTAAATTTATAAAGAAAGGCTCATGCAGCACAAGTGGATTAAGGTTAAGCAAAGTTCAACACAGATAAAATTATGTGCTCGCTATAGCAAAGTTCAGTACATCACACGTGCTCGTTAAAGCAAGGTTCAGAACACTACACAACACAGGTAAAATTAGTTGCTATTAATAGCAAGGTTCAGTACATTATACAACTCGGGGAAATTATATACTCCTAACAGCAAGGTTCAGCACATTACAGAGATAAAATTTTGTACTCTCAATAGCAAGGTTCACACTTCCTAAAAATTAGTAGAAGTTAATATTAATATTATATTAATATTCAGCGATATATTTCACTGATTCCAAGATTACATATATATTTTAGATAAATGAATTCTGACCGGAAAATATATTTTAACATAAATAAATAATGTCAGTGATTCATAAATGTAGAACACTTTAATCTCATTTGTTTTCCAGAGGAAAATGAGCCTTTACGTCACTTTCTTGACAACCAGAACAAGACAGGGGAACATTCACAAAGCTTGGAGTCCTTCATCATTCTACCGATTCAGAGAGTACTCAAGTATCCACTGTTTTTGAAACAAATGACTTCACTCATTGCTGAAGGCTCAGACGAGAATCAGCATATCTGCAGTAAGAATATCTTTTATCATTTGTGTTAAGATTAAGTAATAGTACTCTTGTTTCTGTGAAGTAACATAATCGATGCATTTTATTTTCAAACATTGACTAGTCTACAAAAAAACCACTTCTATTTGAAAAAAATAAATAAACATTTGATTAATTTAGATTTTATCCTTTACAAGGAAATTGGCTGTTCACGTCGAAATAGAAAAAAAAAAAAACAAGACAGAATCTATGCAAGTCCTTGTCGACTTTTGTTATGAATTCTCGAGTCATTCAACCTTGATATGACCCTGATGCAACCCTGATTTGCTTCAAATAGATACCCTGTCGATAAATACGTAACTTTAAGTGAAATATAATTAGAAACAAATATTTTCCTATTTGTAGAGGCTTGTGAAGAAATGCAGTCCGTGGCCAATCATATCAATGAAATGCAGAAGTTATATGTTGAGTTTGGTGATTCCTTCCGATGCCTCTCCTCGCAGGTGACGACTTCTCATTTACAAAAGCCATTTCCTCTTACAGAATGTAGAAATCTTGACATTATCAATAGAAACATTGATAATCAATAGAGGCATTTAGGGAAAACGACAATTTTAACAGAAAAAAAACATTAAAGTTAACTCTTCTTTTCTTTTACTTTTTTTGGACACAATTTGGACGTTAGAAATGGTGCATCGTTTAGATTTATAAATATTTATGCCTTGCAGTAAAACGACCAGAATCATACACAGAATCTTAAGATTGAGCCAAACCACTACAAGCACATTGCGTTGAAATCTTTTGAAATCGACACTTAAAATTAATATTTTGTGGTATTATATTACCAGAATATTGTGAATTCTGACTATGAGTTTCAGTTTACTGTCAGTAAGCTTTTGGAAAGACAAATTTAAAGTTTGAAGTCATATGAAGTTTCACTATTTTATGTCTGGGCAATTCAGTAATAAATATTTTTGTCATTCATGCATTCCACTATTCCATTTCCCAAATTTTATATCAAGATTAAGATTTTGCGGAGAAAATTGCTGTCGTGAACGTTTCACACCAGCTATTTGTGAATGATTCTTGATCTTAGTATCACACAACAGTCCGCTCTAGTCAAATGAGCCTTGTTAACAAGTATCTAGGTCCCTGTTGGGTTTCTTTCAAATTATCAGGGAGGGTTTGTAACCGAGGATTAAATATCCTCCTCTTGGGGGGATACATTTCACTGACATTATCTACATGTGCATTTTCCTCGAGGGTAGTGTGGACGTTTTACAAGTTAAACCATTTATTTTCTTTCTTTTTCAATAACTTCTTATTTAAGTCTATACATTTTTACAAGGCAATGCTTTTTTATTTCTCCCAGGACCTTGGTGTACGAGACCTCTACGCAGAAAGACCCAGCTTGACCTACGCTGCAGATAATATCCCTGTTATTAAATCTGGATACTGTATCAAAGAAGGAAACAAAGTAATTCAATTGTCTTTCCCATCTGCCTATTGTCCACGTCAGTATTTCCTGTGTACCTATTGTCTACGTCAGTATTTCCTATCTGATTATTGTCTACGTTTGTATTTCCTATCTGTCTATTCTCTGCTGTAGTATTTCCTAACTGCCTATTGTCTAATTTATTATTTCCTATCTATCTATGGTCTACGTCACTATTACCTATCTGCTTTTTGTCTACGTCAGCATTTCCTATCTGTTTATTGCAGCCCGGAGGACCGGGCTGCTCTATACATATAAGTTGTTGGTATATGGGGATTGAGGTGGGAGAAGTTATTCAGAATTAAAGGTTTTCTAAACATTAAAAAGATTGTTAATCAGAATGTTCTTTCCCTTTATAAATTACGAGATACACAATATATTTACTTCCATAAAGTGAATCTGTAAAAATATATATGTTTTTCATATTTAATATATAAAGTTGCTTATCATTTACTATCGAAAAAACGACAGGTCCCTTTTTTTAGAACATCGAATTTCACTTATCGCATAAAAACGCACTTTACACAGCTCGTGTTTTATATTCTTAAGGTGAAAGACATTTTTGAAAATAGGTGATGCATGTGTCTGGTTTCAAATTATATTTTATGCAGCCAACATTTACTTGAGGAATTGATAAAGTTTAAAAGGGTATCGTTTTTGTTCGATTTTCAACCGACTATAAGTTTTCAAAATATTCTCAACTATCGTCTCCATCATTTAGACGCATACCTTTTTCACACATATCGAAGCGGTTTGATGATCAAGACTCATTCCCATTGTTTACTTTATTTATTTCCCGGGCGACAATTGATGGTTACATCAATGTTTTCTTGTTGTCTACGTTAGTTAAGTTTAAATATATTTTAATCATTATACACGAATAGGATTGAACAGCAGGCATAAATGCCTATATTCGTTTTCTCCATTGGTAAAGGTACCTACTTTGTAGCGACCTTGACCTTCCTATTGTCTACGTTAGTATTTCCTACCTGTTTATTGTATACACTTGGAAAAGCCACATTTTTTCTCATATAAAGAAGCTGAATATATATTTTTAAATTTATTACATTTCAGATGAAGAGTTGGAAAAGAAGATATTTCGTCTTGAATGAGTATGGACTGTTTTACTACGTTTCACAAGAAGTACGTTCAAACAGCAATCTTTTGTTAACTCAAGTGGTACATTCTTTCGTCATTAAACCACATAATTTAAAAACAAAATATATTAGTATTAATTTCAGATTTCCCCATTGATTGTCACTTACTGCCTACCATACAGTACCTGCTAATTGAATCTCGACAATACGATTATAGTGTCTAATCGTGTGTGTAACGTATTTTACGTCCATGTTATATTGCGAACTTTAATTCGGTTTTTCCATGAATCAGCGTTTTGAGTATAATTTTTGTGTTAAGTTTATAATTCTTGTCAGTTTAATGTGCGCATATTATTTTGCAGACGGTCTCAATAATTACTGAATACTTCGAATTTGGAGTAAACAAATAATTAATTTATGAAATATTAAATTAAATGATAAGTGTTAATAATAATATGAATTAACCTATTTAATGACATAAATTCATGGATACAACCTATCGTCAATAAATATTTATAGGCGTTTATAAAGAATGCTTAGATACAGAATTAACATTTCCTGCTCTATAAAATTATAAACGAATTTTCTTAAGCTGATTTGCTGTTTTGAAAATATAATTTTTAGTGCAGGAAATAACCGAGCTGATTTATTGTTACTCGGAAATGCATTTTGTAGCACAATTATATTCATAAATGTGAGTCTTTCTGACAAATTTTGAAGGAAAAATGAAATAAGGAAATATTTTTGTTAATTATTCTATGTGTTTCTTAGCTGAATTGAAACAAAGGTTCAAAAGCATTGTCTGATCAAAGGCTGTTCGCTATCTGTCTGTCTGTCAGTCGTGTGTCATCTATGTATTTTCGTATTGTTAATTTCTCCAGAACACCGGACCAATTTCAAGCAATCCTTTGGTGAAGGGAATTCAAGTTTGCTCATCTGAAGGTCAATTCAACTGGGAGATAATATATACATACATATATATACGAGGGTTGTCCAAAAAGTTCGTGGACAAATGCCTAATTTTCTTTATTAAGTCCGCAATGGCAAACATGTACGATAATATCTTAATATAGACCATGATTGAATAAATGTACAAAAAATTAAAACAATGCACACTATTTACTGAACATTATAGGTGTAAATACTTTGTATATGCAAGTCGCACGGGCCAGTCTGACGTAACACTTTTTTCATGATAACGTCAGAAATATGAATTTTGAATTTTTATCGCATGTTTATAGACGCATGCTATTTTTCTTTATTATGCCACATTGCCAAATGTGTGCAATAATATTTATGTATAGATTATAATTAATTTAAATTTTAAAATTCAAAACAATACACAATAATTTACGAGCGTAATTGATATTAACACTTCGTAAACACAGGATGCACAGCCCAGCCCGACGGCGCTATATTTATAACAACGTCATGAATAGGAATATATCCTATTTTCATCAAATAACAGTGGTTTTCCACTTCTTGTAGTGTCTCCAAAATTTTACACACCGTTGAAAAATCGTATACACTAATTACAAATAACTAGACTAAATATTTTCCAACAAATTTAAGTTGTTTGAATAAATATTTTGTTTTTGACGACGTTTCCACCATATTAACCATAATTGTATGATTGGACGCTGTCCCGTTCGGATGGCCGACGTCGCTTTTTCTGTCAATTTTTGAAACATACTTCTTGCGGTTTTCACTTAATATTTTCATTGTTTATTTAGTAAGCGATACAAAAGGTATCAGAAAATAGCGATTACCGCTTTATTTGTGATATATTAAATTTTTATTCAGCTTTGACTCGTTTTAAAAAGAAAATAATCATTTCAATCAGATCCCTTTATTTAAAAGTTCATAGCATTTTAACCCTGGTCCGTGCGCACTATCGGCGACCTTTAATGACCGAGATTTATACAAAAATATTAAGTTCAAATAATAAAAACCAAACTATTCCGACTTGGGTTTTCATGACTAATATTTTGGTATACAATAAGCATATCTTGAACCATTTATTTTGACAAAAACGCCATTGTCCACGAACTTTTTGGACAACCCTCGTATATATATATATATATATATATATATATATATATATATATATATATATATATATATATATATATATATATGTTTATAAATTTTGCAAATAAACTCCGGAACGGGTGCACCAGAGTTCTTACTTACTTCTCTAAAAATACACTGTATACAATATCACGGCCAGGAACACGTTAAGTTCCTAGACAGTACCGTTGTCAGAAACCTTTAAAATTAAGCACTGAAAGTGGTTCGTTGTCATGAACATACAGGTGAGGTTATGATAAAATCCATCCAGTGTCATGCAAAAGATAGAAGAATTTATACATAATGCCTAAAATTTAACGTTTTTGACAAATTCTAGGAATAAATTTGAATTTTGGGAAACAGATACAACATTCAGTATTCCATACAAAGATTTATGTATTTGATATCCTTAATACATTTTGAGGAGTTTTGGTTGGCGATCACATGCCCATGTGTGAGAGCATGATCGTGAGCTGAAAAATTATATATTACTTACATTTAATTCATCGAAATGGTACTTTTATTTTAAAATATGAAGAGAAACTTCATTTGAAATGTATTAGGCAACTGACAGCCTTTTGTAGCTAACATGTTTTAAGAAATCGCAATTTATAAGCTAAAAGTCCGTTGTCAGTACATGTTAAGTTTATCTGGTCCGGTGTCATTTTTCTTAACATGCAAGTAAATCAATAAAATGCAACAGAAATGATCAAATATATGCTTAATTTAAAAGAATACAAATCATATTACAGATAATATTGAATCTAGGGGTCGTCTTAAAGCAGCTCACACGAACGTGCTAACTATTCTGCGATGTTTTTATTTTCAATTCATTTTCTCTTAGGAACCTGCATCCTAGCTAGTATGCGCCGGTGCTAGATCCGCCTTTGGTTATTGAGCAGATTTTAAAGAATTTCTGTATACCGTATATTCCAACGTAAAACTTTTATCACCAATTATGGTCCCACCTACCCATGGGGGTCATGATTTGAACAAAATTGAATTTGTTTTTGTTTGTTTGTTTGTTGTTTTAATATCCCTCTAGAAAATTTTTCACTCATAAGGAGACATCACCACTTGCCGGTGGAGGGCCAAAAATTTAGACCTATTCTCGGAACTCAGGGCCATTAAGAAGTGTGGGATCTTTTTCGTGCCAGAATCTACAAAATTAAAAGTACACTATGTACTTTCACATAAGTATCATTTCTTCTGATCCAGAAGTTCTTGAGAAGAAAATTTTGAAAGAGTTATTCTTAAATATTCTATTTAAACTTTGATCACATATTGTAGCCCCACCCTTTCCCAGATATGATCTGAATAAAAATGAATCTACACTTTATAATAAAGCTTTCACATAAGTTTCAACTTTTCTGACACAATGATACTTGAGAAGATTATTTAAAGATGTCACTAAATTTACACTTAACTATTCTTAACTATACTTCCTTGAAAGGGGGCATGACCATTAAATTGAACAAACTTGACTCCCTTTATCCTCGTTTGCTTTCTGGTAAGTTTGGTTGAAATTGAAATTGGCCAGTAGTTCCTGAGAAGAAGCTGAAAATGTAAAAAGGTTACCGATAGACAGAGGGACGACACAAAAATGTGATCAGAAAAGCTCACTAGAGCTATCAGCGCAGGTGAGCTAAAAATGTCAACCCTACATCAATTATATCGGCACTCGTATGAGAATTAAGCAAAAAAAATGAATTCCAGATAACATTACTACTGAACAAATAACTTTCAATCTAATATCCATGTATATATAATGAGAAAAAAGAATAGACTGATTTTTCAGATATCTCAAGAACTACGGTATTTTAACATATCATAGTCAAGTAAACCAATACACACAATTTTCTGAGCAACACCATTTCTCCCTACAGTATTGCGAGTAATGCTAAATAAATACAACTTGTTAACTTATTTATCAGCCAAACACTTTGTCTATTCTTGTCTGTCTGTCTCTCTTTCTCTGTGTATGTGTGTCAATCTCTCTCTCTCTCTCTCTCTCTTCACAACCTTAGGCTGTCCAAAGTTATTTCTATGTTTAACGTCACCTTCGCGCGTAGGTTTCAGAGAAATTGGCACTTTGAAAAAACAAATAAATCCACATTTTTTAAGGTTTCTGTTCCGGTTTGCTCTTACTTTTAGCACTTAAAAACTACATTCCATAGAGATAGACAATACTTGGGCCCTCTGTGAGGTATATTTGAGCTGAGTCTAATCTGTCTATCATTTAAAGATACAGGTTTACTGAAAATGATTATTTAACCAAGAGTCTGTACATGATTACAAATACTTACAGTATTTTAATTCATGTAGATGAGTAACGACTCATTTGTTTGAAAATTCTGTTTGTTTAATTTTTTCCGCCCGCCCTCGTAGGTTTTGAAGTTTATAGGTGACGCTAAACGTAGAATTAATTTCAGCCAGCCTTAGTAAATATCCAACACAATATATCGGCGACAAAATGTGCAAATGTTCACAGTACATATTGTCGCCGACGACAAAACGTGCACATGCTTGACTGTACATTTTGTCTTTCATTACGTAGGAGGAAGAAAAGGCTCGTCTCGGTACAAATTGTCGCCGGCGACAATATGTACCGATGGACGACGATATGTGCAGTCAGGGTAGGTACATTTTGTCGCCGACGACAATATGTACAAAACGACAATATGTACCGTCACACTCCTCTTTTTGATGGCATGCTTAACAATACCTAAAACAACATAAGATCGTCCTTCGTAATGTATAAAGTACAGTAGCGACAACGGACCGATGACAACGGACTTAATTTTAGTATCCTGTCATGACAACGGACAAAAAAATGAAATAAATAAAAATTTTCAGTTTTAATTTGTTCTCATTTTTCTGTAAAGGCTTACAATATGTCTTGATACTGTCTTCACCAATTGGTGTGTATATCATATATTCTATTTACGAAAAAATATAACATCTCAGTAGGAAAATGAATCAAATCCACAAGTGATTTCAACAGGGTTAATGTCGCCAACGCAAACTCTTCTTTTATTACTTCTTTTTAACGGCTGAAATTCATACAACACCAAATAGGGTGTCAGCCCTGTTTCCCATTGCAATTTTATACATTGTTATAGATAATTTAACTCGAAAAATGAAAAACTTCTCACAGTCTGTCTTCTCAAGTTATGACAGATTTTATCATAAACTCACCTGTATGTTCATGACAACGAACCAGTTTCAGTGCTTAACTTTAAAGGTTTCTGACAACGGTACTGTTTAAGAACTTAACGTGTTCCTGGCCGTGAATATGATGTCCGTAAACTATATTTAGATTTCACTCGCATAGTACGTATCGTACATTTAATTAAAAGCCTACTTTCATTTTCTATAAACCGCCATGAAATAGCATAAACGTGAGTACGGTGGCGGTTTACGGTTGGCGGATTTAAGTAACTGGCAAATTTTAATGAAACTGACAACAAAACGGAAGTTTTGCATGGGGTAATTCAGGGTTAAAAAACTTCTTTTCAAGAACAGCTGGGCCATGGTAAGAAATTTAATTAAGCAAGCAACCTCCGCAAATGCACATTCTGGCAATTTTGAAATAAGGTCCCAGGGTAGGGGGTCACAACAGTGAAACGTATAGGGAAAAGCTTTGCACGTTTTCTCAAGAACAACTGGGCTTTGATTTGTCTTATAAAATGTGATATAATCTCATAATAATGGTATAAGTTAATTGTTGATTATTCATATCTGTGCCACTGTGTCTAGTGTTGGGATAGACTGGGAATTAAAAGAAATATGAAAATATATTTGATTTTTTAATAGTTCCAAGAGTAACATGGTCACATAAAATTATATTATCACCATGTCACTTTGCAGTTATAATTTTGTATAAAGATACAAGGGTTAATTCAAAGGTAAGGTCACAAAGGCTATAAAATCTTATATAATTAAATGTTGTCCAAAAAAATTACAACTAATAACCCTATCTATTTTGACATTTTCCTAAAAAAATATACAGATATATCCAAATAAATATAAAATATTTTAATAAACAGAACGCTAGGTTTTGTCTATCGCCGCACGGCAATTATGATAGAGACGTCATTGTGACGCTTTCCTATGATAGAGACGTCATAGTGACGCTTTCCTATGATAGAGACGTCATTGTGACGCTTTCCTATGATAGAGACGTCATTGTGACGCTTTCCTATGATAGAGACGTCATAGTGACGCTTTCCTATGATTCCACTTTTGCTTTAAATCTCACCTTTGATTTTCAGGGACACAATTTGAACTAAAAGTATTTAGCATATGTTTTGTTATTATTTTTCCATATTGTACATATGTTGTGTAAATGTATATAAAAAAGTTGATTGTCATTTTGCTAATGAATGACCATTTTCGATTCTAACATGTGTTTGAGTTTAATAAGTTGAAAATCAAACGGAGCAGAGTCATTCAGACAAAAAGAGTTGACACAAAAGGTGATTATATGTTTCATTTATTTGTAGTCCACAGAACCTTTACGATTCATTCCCAGGGATGAAATGCAGCATGTAAAATCCAGCACAGTGTAAGTTTTTCTCTAGAAAATGATTTTTTATTTTAACCAACAAAATATTATAATTACTAACTTTAAAAAAAAAAATTGTTGAAGGGTACATGAATACATAAATAAAGATTTTTATGTTTAAATAAATTCAGAAATAAGCACACAGGCGGGCTTTACGGAATGTTTGAGCTGTACACAGAGGATCGAACTTTTTTCATTGAGGTAAAAGCCTTAATGATTTTCAACCCTATGTTTTATTCAGCATTGCTTGGATGGAATTACTAGTATTCTAGTTATATATAAGATTAAATGATGATTACTCCAGCTTTTTATGTGTTAAGGACAAACTTGTATGTCGGAATTGTGATATATTTTAATTTAAATTTCTATTTCAATATTCATATTACAAAATTTTCAAATATATCGGTTTAAAACCATTTAAATGTGTATCTTAACAGGAAATTCTGCGGCTGTTTAATGGAAATTTAGTTTTGTGTGGATTAATGATTCTGATATTAAAATCTTTTATTCAGTGTGAAACTCCAGCCGAAGTTCAGCCGTGGATCAAAGCTATAAAATCTCTACTACCCCGCACGGTAGGTTAAAAACTTTTACTTCTGAAAATGCCACAATTATGCTAAAAACCTTGCAGAAAACAGAACTTGCACAGTTACTATAAGATGCATAGAGATAGTCGTGTACATATTTAGACAATAAGGAGTTTTAATTAATAGCCATACTCAAACAATTTTATACTATGATTTTTAAATCTATCTTTTTAATGTGTCTCCATTAAGCTCTCACAATGTTCCAATTTAAACAAGACTCCAGTGTAATAACAAAGAAAGAAATACGTACTGATTTCTCAGTTCAATAATGGTACCTGTTCGATGGCAACAGTGACGTCTTCGCTTTATTTTCTGTATAGTTATACAACACTTAATACAACCATATCCCATGATAAATTGAAGTCCAGGCTTTTTGGTATCATTGACAGCTGCTTTTTCAATGAAATGGAAATTGTTAATATACTTACCTTGTCATTGGTCATTTGCAAAATAATTTTCTAAAAAAGCATTCTGATTGTACACACAAGTACTCTGAAGTTGATATTAAAAAGATGCTTGAGTTTCTGATTGACAATATCTATGTAGATTTTGGCGATCAGGTCTTCCAACAATCTGTTGGAATTCCCATGGGTACCAAATGCGCCCCGTTATTAGCATACCTATTTTTGTAATCATATGAAGCAGAATTTATTTAAAACATCTACATGGGAAGAGGAAAACACTTGCTGTGGTCTTCAATTCAACAATTCGATATTATCAATTCACAATAGTTACTTCCATTCATTTCGATATATCCCAGTGACCTTGAAATAAAAGATATCACGGAGTCTGACACATCTCTTTCATATTAAGATATTTTACTAGAAAAAGACTTTAATGGTGACTTAACAAAAAAGCTTTATGATATACGTGATGAATTTAACTTTTCTATCATCAACTTCCCTTACTTATGTAGCAATATACCCTTATTACCTGCATACGGGGTTTATGTCTTTCAGTTGATTTGATACGCAAGAGAATGCTCTATGTATTAACAATTACTAAATCGAGACAAGCTATTGATGAAACAAGGATATCAACAGTCTAGTTTGAGGTCATCAATTCGCAAGATACAAGCACATTGTCAGCACATACAACCTATCATTGAGTCAAATGCTGACTGACGTGTTCAATACTTATTGTTTGGCCATTATTTATACACTGAACTGTTATTTTTCGATCGTGACAAGGAGCACACGGCGGGTGTGACCGGCCGGCAGGGGATGCTCACACCTCCTTGGCACCTCTAAATTTTGAGGTCCGTGTTTGCTCTGCTCCAAGTTTGTATCGATTCATTGGACTTTCGAGATTGAATGCTGTTCGTTATCTTCATATTTCATTTAGCGACGGAAGACCACAGTTTTAAATCAGAGAGACAGTGTATTCTATACCTCCTCCGGTTCGCTGTCCAACTTCAAGTCAGGCTACTGTATAAAACAGGGTGGAAAGGTTTGTGCAAAAAAAGTACCTTTATCGAATTATACGTAAAGCTTAAGACTTCATGTAAGTTGTGTTAAATGCAATAATTATTGTACTTTCAAGAAGATATGTAAACCACCTCAGAGGAAAATTAATTCTGTGGGAATAGTTCCAGTATTATTTTTTCATGACTCCGAAGTATTTATAACTAAAATGTTAGGGTTACAATTGTAATAATGTCTTTATGAAGTGAATAAGTTGAAAAATACAATACAGTTGCATGTGTACCTATTTTCAGTTTTAATTATTTAGTTGACAGTATTAGGTATCAAAGCATTCGACAAAATCATAACTCAATACAAATTTTAATATTCAAGAACAATGTTAGCAATAAAAAAGCATCCTTTTACAGCGGAAGAACTGGTTGTCTCGATATTTTGTCGTGAATGAGGACGGGATACAATATTTCACTTCTGATCAGGTTAGAACTACGTCATTTTGGGCACAATATGTACATGTATATAATAATACGAAACAGAATGTTCTTAACCTAAGACCAATTACATATGTTACAAGAAGTCAAAATTTGAAGTAAAAACGAATAAAAAATTAAAGTACAGATCATTCACCTTCCGGTATATATCTCCTTCAAAATGGGATTATCATCAGTGATCCTTGTATAATTTCTTCCATTTTAAAGTCAATAGAAGCACTGAAAGTGATTCCGAGTGCTGATGTGCGAGGTGTTCAGGAAGTATCAGGGTAAGGAACCACCAATCAGTATTATTTTACTGTTGTGTTTGTATGATTGAGTGTCAATATCTGTCGATAACAGATTTTTTCTTTCTTCATTAAAAGGTCCCAGTTTGGTCGTGAAAATGTATTTGAAATTCATACATGTTGCAGAACATTTTATGTACAGGTATTGTTTATAAGCGACCATTCAAACAAATTTAGAATAAAACATGCGTTGAATATTTCAATGATACCACTCAATGTATTTAGTGTGAAACTCACGAAGATCTCCGGGAATGGGTATCCGCCATAAGAAGACTTCTACCTCATCCCGTA